CAGATGGTGAGTAAGCAACTAAACATATCAATCTGAAGAGAAAGATGAAACTAGCATGTTGTCTACGAATCTAATTGTAGAGGAAGAATTAAATCAAATAATAATATGTCAAGACAGAATTACAGTTGAATCTGCAAGTAGGCGTATGATTGTATGAATCAATTAATAATGCCAAATATGGCAAAGAAAAATCAGATTACATATCATTTTGTTGACTTAAATGCAGGAAAGTTCAGTAAGCGAAGATCAGAAGAGAATACTCGAGGTCACGTCGATCAGAGGCCTACATCCTCTAATGTTGGCAGAGCTTCTAAAGCAGCCAGCGAATTCTTCTCAACAAGTCCCTATTTTCAAGTGACTTTGCAACCCTTTCACTTGGAGAGACATTCAGTGGTATGTATGATATTTTGCTCACACAAATATGGTATGATGCGAAAACTATGCGACATAGGTTCACCCCAATATAATCATCAAATACACGAAGAAATTTAGATACCAAGAATCTCTTGATCTCTGTTTATAGATAAGCTTCGGTGTCAATCTCAACCTCAGAAGTTTAGTAGTAATTGAGTCTGAAATTTCTTGTTTCTGTAGAATCTACCGACTGCTTTTTCGAAGAATTATTTTGAGGAAAAGGCAAAAAGCTGCAATCCTTCAGGTAGGGAACAGATCTTGGCGTGTGAAGTTATTGCACGATCTCTCGGATTATTATAAGTTCTCTAGCGGATAGCATTCCTTTGCGAAGGAGAACTCTCTGCGTCCAGATGTCCGCGTATTCGAGCTGGTTGATAGGAATCAAGTTGTGCTGAAAGTGTCCATATTTGGTCAAAATCGTTGCGTAAAATCTTAAAATATGTGATAAAAGCTTAAGGAGTCATTTTGGAAGAAACAAATTACTCTAGTGTAGTGTTCTGTTTTTTGTAAGTTTCATGTCTAAACTTTCAAACTCTTCTACACATCCTTTAAGAGGATTCAAATTTTGTGTAAGATAAAGGTCAAGGTCCATGCCCATGTTGAAGGCTTTTGAAATTGTTGGTTTATATATAGTTGTGCATCCTTATGTTCACTAATAAATATTCGTAGCTGAAACTTTAATATTTTTGCTGACATTATTGTTTTTTAATTATTTGAACTACAATTTTATTAGAAAAAATTAGGTGAATTGCCGGTTTTGGCCACTTTTTTTAAATGCAAGAATTTTTTTTTGGACAAATGGTTTTATTTTTTCTTTGAGCTCTTCTAGTTGGACCATAAAAATGAATATTGGTAGTTTTTTGCTTTTAGCCATTAGATTTGTATCAAACTATTTGTTTCTCATATTTTGTAAATCCGATATAATTTTGACCAAATTTAACGAATAAAAATTGATCCTATCTATAGGGAGCCCCTATTGGAAAAACTCTTTTATTTTTTTTCTTTTAGGGGATGATTTTTTTTATATTGATATGGGTCACTGGTAAAACCAGTTTACGTTTGAAAAACTATGGTAACCATTGTTTCTTTTGCGAAAAGGTGTAATGTATAATTCATTGGTGCATCTATTAACACACCTTTTTAATTAAATTTTTTATTACTATTTTTTTGATGAAAAATTTAGAAATAAAAATAATTACCCGTTAATAAAGGGTTGCGATAGTCTAAAGCTAGAGGATATGATTGGTAGTTCAGAGTTTTTAATTATTTCGCAAACCTTTTAAGGAAAGGGTTGAAGGAAGAGCTGGGAGAGGCCAAAGGAAGAGGTGGTCATGATAAAGAGACGTGGTGGTGGAACTGTTAGGGATTTTGTTAGTTGATAATTTTTTGAAAATGGGTTGTACAAAATTCAAAAATAGGGTCAAGTTCATAATTGATGTAGAATCAAATTTTGTGGTGATTTTGATATACTAATTGCTTCGAATATGAAATATTTTGAAGAAGTAAAGCATACTTGATCAATAAAAGATTTAAAAGATTTGGTGCAATCATGGAGATTCCTACAGATTCAGGATAAGATCTATTTGAGAAAAGAAAAATAAATTAATTGTTCAATGAGTGCTTCTATTATTGGAAAATGAGAAAAAAGTATAAAGGTTATATATATATTGGTGATATATGTGTGGGTGCATTAACGGGGAGAATAAGAGTGAGAGTGGCCTATTCTTTTATGTGAGGGTATGTGCTTTATAAGGTAATATGTGTATGCATACTATATTTAGCCCATTAAGAAGGATTTGAAATTGGCTATCGGCTTGATTTAAAAAAGCATTGAATTGGCGCTTGACCTGGACTACACGTGCATTATTGTTATATATAGCATATGGGCATACGTGAGTTTCGCAGCCTTGGAAGTGAGAATATTGAGCTTTTATGTTTTTGAGGTTTTAAAGCAATTCAAGGCTGCCTATTTGAGGGGTGCTCTTACAGAGAATATTTGCAGAAGAGAAAGTCTATGATTAGTGAGCCTTTGAGTGTTGATTGAAGATCGTCTTTCGGAAGAAGGATTAGAAGCTTTCGGGAGAGAGCGCACTGCCAACTGAAAGAATTTCGCCGAGTAGTTTTGGAGACGAGTGGTGCTCGCTGGACAAGGTCATTAAGGAGATTCGACACGGCGGCAACAACGTTAAGGAGGGAGTCTTTGAGTGTATAAGTCCGATTGGTATTTGTAATCCTTTGATTTTAGAGGATTGTTCACTGTCTGGGTGTGGCCCCGCAGATGTAAGTATGTGCACTGAACTGCGATATCAATTCTTTGTGTCTTTTATGTTTATGTTAATCTTTCTGAACTTAGAATTTGTTGCTGCTGAATCAAAAAAATATATACATCTGCACGTATCTGTCATCAGTGTTACAACAAGTGTTATAATACTCTTTGTGACACCTCGTTAAAAACATATCTTTCAATTAGTATCAGAGCAGTTCACTAACTCTTTGTTTGGTGAGATTTTGAGAGTTGGTCTGTTGTAGCAGGAATGAATTTTTTGAGAGAATGAGGTTCGGTTTCACGCTCCCCACTACTTGATGGCACTAAGAAGTTCAACAAGAAGAAAAAAAAGGCCAAACTTTGGCAATGTCAACCATTTCTAGAAAAATAAAGCTGCAGCAAATAACACAAAGATGAAGAAAAAAAATAAGGGTATTCAATGCTGAGAATGCTACGGTTACGACCAGATTCAATCTGAGTGAGCTAACACTCTCAAGAAGAATAAGAAATCACTCGATGCAACTTGGAGTGATGAAGAATCTGAAGACAGTCAGGAGTATGATGATGATCATGTGAGTAATTTCATTGTCTTTAATATTTATATTGATAAAGGTGTTTCTACAGACAATGTTATAAAAGTTGTCGCAGACAGTTTTACAACAAATACTGAAACAAAATATTTAAACAACGAAAACAAAGTAGATTTTTTAGATTATGAAAGTAACAGTGATGGTGAGGAGTTGACTGTTGATGCCATACATGAAGCTTATAAGACCATGTTCAACAAATGGATTAAAGTGTGTGAAATAAATAAGTCTCTACGGGAGCGCGTCGATGAGCTTGTCAAAGAGAATGATGTGTTGAAGAGAGCTGCTGATAATTATGAATTTCTTGCTACAGAGAGATAAAAGAAGTTGAAGGAAACAATGGTTGCACTCGAGAACACTCAGAAAAATTTAAAAATGATGAATTCTGGTGCAAATAAACTGGAACATATTCTTTCATTAGGAAGATCAAGTGGTGATCATCAAGGCCTTAGATACACTGGTGAAAGCTCAACGTCCAAGACATTGTTTGTGAATGAGACACCCATTCCTGATAATTAATAGATCAATCATATATATTAATTATAATCTATTCATTAGTAAATAGTTGATAAATAAAAAATAGTAATTACTCAATTCATAATCAATATTAAATTATAATAATTAATTATGTAATACACTAATCAATAATAATTAATAATTGATAATTAGCAAATTTATCATTATTTAAAAAATAATTATAAAAAATTGATAATGCAATATATCAAATACTAGATTATTAAATAAATGTTAGTAACTAATTATTTAATTATGTAACTAAAAATTAATTATTTAAATAGTAAATAGAATATTAATATTTTATTTATATACTAATCATTTTTTAATACACTTATTAATTACTTATAAACTAATAAATATAACTAACATAATAATTACTTATACTGATTATTAATTACTATTTTTTAATTATTTAGCATATTGATTCATTATATGTATAATTAATAATCAATGTACTCATTAATTATAATATATCCATTATTAATATATAATTAATATATTAATTTTTATTTACCAAGTGATTATCACTTATTAATTACTTAATATATTGATTTAAAGTTATTAATTACATGTACTGGCAACAAAATTTCATAAGTACAACAAAATACAATTTTATTTCTTTACTATATTCAAAACAATCTCTTATAAGACTAACTAAACGCAATTTTAAAAACTGTCTCAAAATAATTTTTAAAATAATTTCATTTTTACTTTTGTACTGAAAATAAAATTATTTTGAAAACATTACCAAACAGGCCCTATATTTTTAATCAAATTTTGTTTTTAAAATGAATTATGTAATTGTGTTTAATTATATGTAGGAGGTCTAAGTATAATTTGTTGTTCCCGCATCTCTATCTACCCTTTGATTTACATCTATAACTCTAATGATGAATTCTGCTGATAGGTGAAAATATTGTCCTTATATTATATATTTTTCTTTATTTTTTAAGTGTATTTATTTATACAACTTAAATCATAGCACAAATTATATTATTACAATATTTTTTTTTACATAAATTTAAATTTAATTTTTTTATTATAATATATATTTTTTTAATATATAACTCACGTCATGATTTAATCTGTACAGATGAATACACTATTCTATCCTATGACTATGGGCAGTGATTTTTCCACACGATCAAAAATTAGAAAACAAAAAGAAAAACTATGAACAGGATTTTTCCACACTTGATCACAAAGTTAGAAAAAAAAAGAAAAAAAAGAAAAAGAAAACATTTACGCCTAAGAGCCTGCGACTCGAACCGCCTCTCTCTCTCTTTCTCTCTTTCTCTCTCTCTGTCTCTCTTCTTTCTCAACGTCGTAGAGGCATTTCAATTTCATATTGTTCTCTCCACGTTCTTTCTCACTCAGAAAATCTCAAAGAGAAAGACAAAAAGCATTTCTCTCGTGTTGCTCTCTCCTCATCTCTCCCCCAAATCCTCACTCTGCGTTTCCCTTTTGCCCTAATCCCTTCCCTCACGCCATGGGCAAAGCCGTCGTCTCAGACGAAGAAGGTCAGTCACTCTTTTCTCGGAAAAACCCGAAAATCTCTCTCGTTTTCTTCCGAATTAGCCCTAACCATAGCCCTAGCTTTCGTCTCGTCTTCTTCGGTGATTTTTTTATTCAATTTGCGCAGATGAGGTCGAGCTCGAGGACGAAGAGAGGGAACCCGTTGATGGCGACGCGGGAGACGACCGAGACGTTGATGACGACGAGGGAGATGAGGAAGACGGTACGGGATTCTTTTTTTTCTCATCCATTTTTTCTTCCTTTTTTGTCTTGTTCTCATGGAGTTTTGGGGGCTTGATTTTGTGTTTGGGTGGGTTTTGAGGGTTCGATTGGAAATGCTAGGGTTTTTTCATCCCTTATGCACAAGGATGATACTTAACGTTGTTACATTCGATTGCATGTTTTTGGGTAATGCATTAATTGGAGAGATAATAGGGGTAGTAACTTGGTGCCTATTTAACTTTGAGTACATGAAATCCATCTAGGTTCCTAGATTTTTTTATTATTATAAATTACGGTCCTTTCTTCCTTTAAACTGTAAATGTCGTGTATGTTGTTTGTAGTTACTGTTTGGAAAGATTGTTTAACATAGAGATTATAATACAGTCTGATTTGAAATCTTATGGGGTTGATGATGGTTTATTATGGTTATTTTCCTATTTCGTTTACATCAATCTTCTGTAGTTAAATGCCTGATAAAATGGGTCTAGCAAAAAAAAAAAGGCCGAGGGATTGGGAATCTTTTTGAGAGGGTATTATCGCAGTTCACTACCAGTAATAACTCACTTGAAACTTTCTACTATATTTATTACTTTTTCATGATTTATTGTAAGGTCTGTTTCCTCCTTAGCTGCATTTTGTAATGCCTAATTCTCTGTGAGGCTGTTTCGCGGGGGGCAGGTGGATCCCTGACTTGTTTTATCTGTCACATGGAAATCATGCATTCTCAAGAGCCTAGCTTCATGAAATATTCGTCTCGAGTTTCTTCTTGATTGTTTTCAATTCACTTCTGACAGAAGAAGGGCAGGATGAATATGAGAAGGATGGTTTTATAGTGGATGATGTTGATGAAGAGGAGCCGGATGAAGAGGAAGAGAGGGTTGACAGTGATGAGGAGCGACAGAAGAAGAAAAAAAGAAAGAAAAAGTAAGTGTTCGATACTTGCGATGTTATTGTAAAATTATGTGTTCTTGCTGGAAAAGTGTACAAGAAGGAGAAGAGTTGGATCCTTTCTTTTTGGGGGCTCTAATTAGATTGGGTTTGGAGTGCTGAAATTGAAATATTCGTCTATCCTGCGACTGGTGTAGTTCAATTAAATGCCCCAAGACTTCTTTTTGTTTCCATTTTGAGAGGGAAAAAAGTTTTGAAGCATAATAGATTTGGAACCGAGTTCATCTATATCTGTGTATGGCTCTATGTTTTGTCTATCAAACGAATGGTTTTCTTTTCTTGTTCCTAAGAATTTTCTTTTGCAATTTGTTTAGGGAGGAATATGTCCTTGATGAAGATGACTATGAGCTCCTTGAATACAACAATGTCATTCCTCGCAGGAAGGTTGTGACATTTATAATTTCATAGAATAGCTAAATTGAAATCTCATTACTTTTTGTTCGATTGCATTTTTGTTCACTACTGACTTTGTTGCAGGATAAAAAGTTTAAACGGCTGAAGAAAGCTCAGAGGCAGAATGCAGAGGAGTCTTCTGGTTTTTCTGATGAGGAGGAGTTTAGTCGAAGTGGTAAAAGTGGACGAACTGCAGAGGAAAAGCTTAAGCGCAGTTTATTTGGCGATGATCATGAAGGTATACATTTTGCATTTGTCTATACGATAATTATAACCATTTAGATTGTATTTAGAATATTTTGCTAGAGTATCACCTTAAAAATATTCATTTTTTTCCCATTAACTATATAGCTCTGCTTGAGGACATTGCTGAAGAGGAAGAACAGGTAGAAGAGGAAGATGATGGAGAAATTGGTGAAGAGGATGAAATGGCAGACTTTATTGTGGATGAAGAATACGATGAATCTGCTGTGAGGTACTTTTTGAGCGTCTGATTTCTCTCTCTCCTCTCTTCTTTTCTTTTCTTTTCTTCTTTTTTTTGTTTTGTTTTTTTAACGGTCTTTAGTGGTGTTTCCTAATATTTTGGGTGAGCAAGTTACGTATCAATTGAATTCATAGACTCATTTTAAAAAAAAATAATTCATAAGTTTCTTGTCCAGGCAGAGGAAGCTGAAGAGGAAGAAATCTAGGCAGGCACCTGGAGTTTCTTCGTTTGCTTTGCAGGAAGCTCATGAAATATTTGGTGACGCTGACGAACTTATACACCTTAGGAAGCAAGAAATAGATTCTAGTGAATGGAGGGAAAGGAGACTCGAAGATGAGTTTGAACCCATTGTTCTATCTGAAAAGTATATGACAGAGAAAGACGACCAGATTCGGGAACTTGATATTCCCGAAAGAATGCAGGTTATCATTTAGTCTTGTATTTATTTCCTGTGTCTGTATGAGCATGATCTGTATTTCTTGATTCTTATTTTCTTGTTTCTAGATATCTGAGGAAAGCACCGGGCCTCCTCCGTTGGATGAAATCAGCATCGAGGATGAGAGTAATTGGATATATAATCAACTTGCTTCTGGTTCAATACCTTTGTTTGGAAGAGGTTTAGGAAATAACAAGGAAGGACAGGATTTGTCTGTTAACAGGGATGACATCATCAGATTTTTGGATCTTCATCATGTGCAGAAGTTAGATGTCAGTATCTGATCAATGTTGATTTACCTACGTTTGATCTTATGGATGTTTATAACTTTGTTTCCGTTTTTCAGATACCTTTTATTGCCATGTACCGGAAAGAGGAGTGTTTGAGTTTATTGAAGGACCCTGAAGATGACAATAAGGATAAATCTGAGAGAACACCGACTCTGAAGTGGCACAAGGTGAATGCATTTAACATGGATCAAGCAACTGTTGAAACTAGTAATGAATTATTGTTAATAAGAAATGGTGAAATTAGTCATTGACTGCATGTTTGCTTCGTTATAGGTACTATGGGCCATTCAGGACTTGGATAGAAAGTGGCTGCTCCTTCAAAAACGGAAGAATGCACTCCAGATGTATTACAATAAGCGATTCGAAGAAGAATCTCGGCGTATTTATGATGAGTCAAGACTTGCATTAAATCAGCAAACTTTTGAGTCAATTATGAAGTCACTTAAAGCTGCAGAAACAGAAAGAGAAGTTGATGATGTTGACTCCAAGTTTAACTTGCATTTCCCTCCTGGTGAGGCTGGTGTTGATGAAGGGCAATACAAGCGGCCCACTAGGAAATCACATTATACTACCTGCAGCAAGGCTGGCTTGTATGATGTTGCCAGCAAGTTTGGTTATAACTCTGAGCAATTTGGATTGCAGTTGTCACTGGAAAAGATGGTTGGTTTTCTTGTTTTGCATTTGGTGGTATTCTGTTGAACTTAAATAAGTAGTTTTTGAATTTTGTTTCATTCCGTTGTAGAGGATGGATGAATTGGAGGATGCTAAGGAGACACCAGAAGAGATGGCTTCTAGCTATACATGTGCAATGTTCAATTCACCTCAATCGGTTCTCAAAGGGGCCAGGCACATGGTATGTTCCTATTAACTTTGTTGTTCATGGTATGAAAGTTGTCCCTTTTGAAGCTTGATTATATTGTAAGGCTGCATGTTCTAACAGTTTTTTCTTCTTGTTCCAGGCGGCTCTTGAAATTAGTTGTGAGCCATGTGTCAGGAAATATGTTAGAAGCAACTATATGGATAATGTTGTGATATCAACTAGTCCAACACCTGATGGGAAAGTTGCAATAGATTCTTTTCACCAGTTTGCTGCGGTGAAGTGGTTGCGTGAAAAGCCACTGACTAGATTTGAAGATGCGCAGTGGCTTCTTATCCAGAAAGCTGAAGAGGAAAAACTTCTTCAAGTTACTATTAAGCTGCCAGAAGAAAAGTTGAATAAGTTGACAAGTGACTTCAATGAGTACTATCTTAGTGATGGTGTTAGTAAATCTGCTCAACTGTGGAATGAGCAACGGAAGTTGATATTGCAGGATGCTCTTTTCAATTTTCTTCTTCCTTCAATGGAGAAAGAAGCAAGATCCATATTAACTAGTAGAGCCAAAAACTGGTTAGTAATGGAATATGGAAAGGTCTTGTGGAATAAAGTTTCCGTGGGACCATACCAAAGAAAGGAGAATGACGTTAACTCAGATGATGAAGCTGCACCTAGGGTCATGGCTTGCTGTTGGGGTCCAGGAAAGCCAGCTACTACTTTTGTTATGCTAGATTCATCTGGGGAGGTGTTAGATGTTCTCTACGCTGGGTCCCTCACATTACGGTCTCAAAATGTTAATGACCAGCAACGTAAGAAAAATGATCAAGAAAGGGTTTTGAAGTTCATGACAGACCACCAACCACATGTTGTTGTCCTAGGAGCTGTTAATTTGTCATGTACCCGCTTGAAGGATGATATTTATGAGGTGAGCTTCTAGCTGTCATCTGATATGATGATAAATGACCTTTTTTTTTGTCACATATAATTGTGCTCATACGTAACAATATTCTAAAATATCATTTAAGGTACAACCATAGCATGTGCAATTATACCATGACAAATTCTTAACGAAAATTAAGCCCTGAAATTTCAGTAATTCTAGAGTGGTGTAAAAAGCTGCCATCCTTGCCATATATTTGAATCTTGTATCATTATATTTTGTGACTGAACATTTTCAGGGGTATCTAAGGAGTTGGTAATTGATCGAATCGAGGTCTTTCCTAAGTTTATCATGTTTTATATGTTTGCTTATACGTTCTACAGTTCTGATCCTAATATACTCTTTTAGATAATTCAAAATTTTAGCCTGGTCACGGTTGGATATTTCATGTATATGATATAAACGCACACACAAAACACACAGAGCCCAACAAACCTTTGATATGTAAAGTGGATGTGCTCATGTATGGGGAAAAAATCAACTTCAAATTTTGCAGGCAATTAGCCAGTTGTCTGTATAGGCTGGACTGGCTCATTCACTGTCTGTTTACTTTGTGTTCTGCTAAAAAAAGTTAAGCTTTTGGATAGTTAAAGTTTTTCTTCTTTTTTTTTTTCCCCTTCTTTTTTTCTTTTTATCTTAAAGATTCATACATCCATGAAAGACCTTTGGTGTAAAAAATAGCTTGATTCCAAGGACAAAGAAGTGGCTTACTGCATGAACTTTTAATTGCTTATAGTTTTGATTTCATGTCATACTATATACCATATTTTTTCATATTTGATTTATAATAACTTTAATAATTTGTATTTCTTGGTGATTTGTTGAATTGAAATATTATCCTTATAAGTTTTCACTTTCCTTTACCAGATTATTTTTAAGATGGTTGAAGAAAATCCTAGGGATGTTGGGCATGACATGGATGGCCTCAGCGTTGTGTATGGAGATGAATCTTTGCCTCGTTTGTATGAAAATTCTCGTTTTTCATCTGATCAACTACCTGGGCAGTCAGGTATGTATTTTGTAACCAATATAAATCTATCGAGTTGGATATTTCTTTTCATTGATCCTGTTTTTCATGATTTCGTTAGGCATTGTTAAGCGGGCTGTGGCCCTTGGGCGTTTTCTTCAAAATCCATTGGCAATGGTTGCCACTCTATGCGGACCAGGAAGAGAGATATTATCTTGGAAACTCAATCCTCTAGAAAATTTTCTCACCCCTGATGAGAAGTATCGGATAGTTGAACGGGTGATGGTCGATGTTACAAACCAGGTGGGCCTTGACATAAATTTAGCTATTAGCCATGAGTGGTTATTTGCACCACTGCAATTTGTTTCTGGGCTTGGACCTAGGAAAGCGGCATCTCTTCAGAGATCCTTGGTAAGAGCTGGAGCAATATTCACTAGAAAGGATTTTGTGACAGCTCATGGACTCGGTAAAAAGGTTTTTGTCAATGCAGTTGGTTTTTTGCGTGTTCGGCGGAGTGGGTTGGCTGCTAGCAGCAGTCAATTCATTGATTTGTTGGATGATACCAGAATTCATCCAGAATCTTATGCTCTTGCACAAGAGTTGGCTAAAGATGTTTATGATGAAGATGGCGCAAATGATGACGAGGATGCACTGGAGATGGCAATAGAGCATGTTAGAGACCGCCCTAGTGTTTTGAAAACTTTAGCAGTGGAGGAATATGCGAAAAGCAAGAACCGTGAGAATAAAATAGAAACATTTTATGATATAAAGAGGGAACTAATGCAAGGCTTTCAGGATTGGCGTAAACAATATGAAGAGCCAAGTCAGGATGAAGAATTCTATATGATATCAGGTGAAACTGAAGATACCATTGCTGAGGGGAGAATTGTGCAAGCCACGGTCCGTAGAGCGCAAGCTCAAAAGGCCATCTGTGTTTTGGATTCTGGATTGACTGGGATGCTTATGAAAGAAGATTACACAGATGACTGGAAGGATATCTCCGAGTTATCTGACAGGCTACATGAAGGTGACATTCTCACTTGCAAGATAAAATCCATCCAAAAGAATAGGTATCAGGTATTCCTAGTCTGTCGAGAGACTGAAATGAGAAACAATCGATATCAGAACGTTAGAGACCTCGACCCCTATTATCAGGAAGATCGAAGCACCCTGCAAAGTGAGCAAGAAAAAGCTCGCAAAGAAAAGGAACTGGCTAAGAAACTTTTCAAGGCAAGACCGATTTTTCATCCTCGTTTTCAGAATATAACGGCAGATCAAGCAATGCAGGTGTGCTTTCAATAATGATACAAAAGCTTGCTGTGTAGTTTAAATTTCTATGTGAGTATATGAATTAGGTCAGAATTGAATTATGAATATTATGTTATCTTGTCATAAACTTACTTGAGTTTCAGAAGAAACAAATTTTTCGTTTCATTTTTGATATTTTTATTCTCCCATCTTTCGTTCACGTACTGATGACTGATGTATTTTTTTTTTCCCCTCTTTTTTTTGACAATATGCACATGCACTGTGTGTGCGGTTAACTACTTGTGCATGTAGATTCAGCGTTAAGACTTCAATTTTGCCTTAGGTTGCTGTGTTGAGTTTACAGGACTTTTTCAATAATGGGGTTATTTATTTATACATGAATTAGGGTTATCTTTTATGCTTTATTTGATGATGTTTAGATGCTCAACATTCTGTAATACATTTGGATTTAAAAAATTTATTTAAGACTTCAAATCTATTATACAGTTGTCGAAAGTTTGTGCTGAAGTGTAATTAAGTCATAGCATACAATTACTTGGGTAAACTCAAATGTCAATATGTATGTTTGTTTGTTTTTTTTTTTTTTTTTGTTCTTTTTTCCTTTTCTTTAATACTGTCAAAACTGATAATGTTGCACGTCATCTCTTATGTTTATCAGTTCTTGTCTGATAAGGATCCTGGTGAAAGTGTTATCCGTCCTAGTTCACGCGGACCCTCATTTTTAACATTAACGCTCAAAGTTTACGAGGGAGTTTATGCTCACAAAGACATTGTCGAAGGTGGAAAGGAACACAAGGACATCACCAGCTTACTCCGCATAGGAAAGACGTTGAAAATTGGGGAGGACACTTTTGAAGATCTTGATGAGGTTAGTATTCCTCCCCTTGTTCTATTATGTTGAAGGTTGAAACTGTAAACTGATAAGCCTTTAATTAGGCAGGTCTTTATCAGGAAGAATAAGAAAGTGTAATTGGTTTTTGTATTCTGTTTTACAGAAAATAGTTGTTAGTCCGTTAGAAGTTGTTAGTGGCTTAGTCTGTTAGAGGGTCGGTGTTAGTTAGTATTTTGAGGTTAGTTACAGAGGGTGGGAGGAGGATAAAAAGAGAGGAAGAAGAGAGGGGGCATTGGAGATCACAGGGTTGTTTTGGGAGAAGTCTTGGAAAATTAATCCAAGCAGGGGAGGTTAGCAGATCCTTGAAATTCTGCTAGTGTACTGTGTTCTTTAGTATTCTCTTTTTTTTTTTTTCCTGTGAGATCAAGCATCAAGTCTATCATAAACTAGCTAGGAGTTCTTAAGTAAAGTTTCCTTTTGCTTATTGATTTTGAAAAATTTCTTGTGAGCTGGAAATATGCAATTATGAGTTCCTAAATCGATTTAGTTTCGTACGTGATATTTTGTTTTTGGGTTACCAGTACTTCCTTTCAGTGTTCTAGCCTGATACAGAAGCCCAAGTCTTAACTCCTAGAGCAGCAGCCTCACAGTTATTTATTTAAAATTGTGGTTAAAGTTTTTATTTTTTCCATGTTGTACTTTAAACATCGACTTAGGTGCTATTGTTATTTGTTTTTCTCGATTGTACTCTAAAGGAAAATTTATTTGAAAGGTTGATGTGTTCTTTGTTCTTGACTTTATATTAGGTAATTGATAGATATGTTGATCCTTTGGTGGCTCATTTGAAGACAATGCTAAATTACCGTAAGTTCAGGAGGGGCACGAAAGCAGAAGTTGATGAACTCTTGAGAATTGAGAAAGCAGAATATCCTATGAGGATAGTTTATTGCTTTGGCATATCTCATGAGCATCCCGGTACTTTCATTTTGACTTACATACGCAGTACAAATCCGCACCATGAGTATATTGGTGTATATCCAAAAGGGTTCAAGTTCAGGAAAAGAATGTTCGAGGACATAGATCGACTTGTAGCATATTTTCAGAGGCATATTGATGACCCCCAACATGATTCAGCACCATCAATCAGATCAGTTGCTGCTATGGTCCCGATGCGAAGCCCTGCAGCTGGGGGCTCCTCAGGTGCCTCTGTCGGCAGTGGCTGGGGTGGTTCAACAAATGATGGTAGCTGGAGAGGTCAGTCTTTTGACAGGGAACGCTCTTCTACACCTGGTTCAAGAACAGGTGAAGTCAACCAAACACATGTTACGTCTGGATTTTGATCTACTTTAGTCGGTTGCATGAATCTGGTTTTTACTGCCCTTCCACTTAGAATTAGCCTGCTCTTTTCATTTTTTTTCTGGTGCAATATGTTAATTATCGATAGAATTACATGCGTAAGAAGCTATTCTGCTGTGCCTTTGATGTCCATGTCTATGATTTTGTAGATTTCCTGACATCTTGTTCTTCTAGATCAATCGGTTTCAACTCTTATTGACATGGTTTTCCCTTTGATTTGGTCTGTTGTTGGTGAAGATTTATTTGCTGCATATTCCACTTCATTTATTGTCATTAAGATAAAGTTAAGATGTTATCATGTTAGGCCCCCGAAATATAACAGGACACTTGTGTGTAGGCCTCATGACATTCTTATTTTTTCCCCCACTTTTGTAGGCCGCAATGATTTCAGAAATGGGGGTGGCGGTCGAGGTGGACACCCAAGTGGGGCGCCTAGACCATATGGTGGTGGGCGTGGCCGAGGTCGAGGCTCATACAACAGCAGAGGCAATAACGAGAGACAAGATTCTGGTTATGATGCTCCCAGATTGGATTCAGGTAACAAGGATGGGGATGATGGTTGGGGCAATAATTCAGGGGGTGGTGGAGGCAGCACCTGGAGTAGTGGTGGTGGAGGCGGTGGCAGTGGGTGGAGCGGTGGCGACGGCGGCGGCAAGAGTTGGAGTAGTGGGGCCGGTGCCAATGACGGTGATGGCTGGAGTCGTGGAACTGGTGATGCTGGGCGATGGAGCTCCTCAGGTGGAAGGGATGCTCGTGCTGCCACTGGGAACTCTGGCTGGGGTTCTGACTCCAAAAGAAGTTCAACTCAGCCGGAAAGTGGCAATGGGTGGTGATGGTTGGTGAAGCTAACAAATTTCCATTGGCTTTCCAACTGCATGGTTGTCGTGAAGGCGCAGAAGGTGCTTCCTGTTTTCGAGGCCCCATGTAATGCCTTAGCTTTCCTCGAAGTTTTTGTGTCAACTTTTCTGCCCTGTACGTATTTACGCTATTATATAACGTATCAAATTAACGAGAAAAAAAGAACTTGTTCAGATTTCAGATAACTGATTGTTGCTGGTTTGTTCCTCTTCCTTTTCCCTTCATATGTCTTCCTACTTAAGAGTCTTGATTTCTTGCGTAAGTACTGCCTTTGCGTAAATACCCCAAGCATCACGAATTAGATGAAATCTGGAGGAAGTCACTTGCACTTCATTTTTTTTTTAATTTTTTAATTTTCTAGTTTTTTTACAACAACAGCAGCAACAATAATAATACTATTATTATTTATTAATAAAAAGCATTGGGTTAAAATCCAAGGACTTTTTCTTCCTCAGGCTTCTCTGAAGAGAAGAAAGAATTGAGTTAGAACCGGAGAAAATGCAGCGAGGCAAGGTGGTTGTGAAGATGATAGCTGTTGCAGTTAATTTAAACAATTTTTGGGTTTGCACAATATATATATATATATATATGTATATATATATATATATATATACCCTTCGTTAGATATTTGTGAGTACCCTTCCTGGTCTGTGATTTATCATATTTATGTCTTTGCTTTAAAAAGAAAAAACACGTAAAATAAAATCTACGGTGGTGGGTATGGTCTATGATAAAAATGGCCGGCAGTTGCAGAGTTCAAATTACGTTGTCATTGTTTTTTACATCTTATTATTCGTGCCATTGAAAATAATTAGGGACCACTCTCATTATATTTTTCACCTCTCTCTCTATGGCGGGGGGATTATACGAATGGCAGGGGGTGGACCCAAAAAAAAAAAATTTTTTGGAGTGTAAAAAAAAAAAAAAAACAATAAAATAAAATAAATAAGTGAAAAGAAAACAATAAACAAATATCATGCTTTGCACGTGAATATTTAAGGCAAATAACTGCCTTGTGGGAGCTATTCCTTATTTGCAATCCGTGTGTGAGAATCAGCCAATCAAATGCAAGACTTGTAATACAATTGTAGCTTGGAGCTTGTACTTCTCACGCTAAGCGAAAAGCTAACTCAACTCACAGCGAGCCCACCTTTGCTTCTAACATTCCACGTTTCGGACGTTAGACGTTAGTTGTAACAAGTAGTTTTGTTGATTGGTTAATTGGTCACATTTTATCACTGAAATGGGTTTGATTGGTATAAATCTTGATACATCAAAAACAATTTTATTAGATTCAAAAGTATCTAACGTCAGAATTTAATAGTCCGAATAGTTAGCAGAAGTCGTTTTGATCAAATCTGTCAAATGGGTAGCAGAAACAGGGATGACAAAAAGGAAAAACACAGATGTATACATAATACACTTCAAAGAAAAAATCAAAACCACCAAGGGAAAGCATGAGAAATTGAGAAAATACGTTCAACCAAATGGGACATTCACATGAAAAAGGCAACACATTCAATTCTTTCACCTTCAGGCTTGTAACAACAAAAAAGCAGTCTCCAGAATGTCAAACCATTTTCACTACAAACAATTTCATTGCTTTTCATAATGGTCGAGAAATCGAAAGGCACGCAAGAACTAGCCTTCATCAAATGGCCACCCGGTATACCCCATCGGATGGTGGTGATGGTGGTTGTTATTTTCATGCACAGTTGGGGAGCTAGTTCCAGCTGTCCCATTGTGGTTGGAGCTCGAACTAGACGAGCGAAATGGCCACAAATACGACAATGGATGCCGCCTTCCATGACTCTCTCGAGTATTTTCCCTTCCATTGGCGTTGCTACCAAAACTACTGCTGCTGCTGCTGCTGCTGCTCCTACTTCGATTAGTCGACCTACGAGCACTACTAAGTCCCTGTGCTGGCAGTTCTTGGCGGCAGACAGGGCAAGAGTTGTGCTGGCTCAACCAGGGTATAATACAATCTGAATGATATATATGGTTACATGGCATTTGTCTTGCTTCAGATCCCAGCTCGAATTTGTCTTTGCAAACAGGACAATGTGAATCAGAACGAAGATGCCTATTGGATATCTTAATAGTAGGCATTGCATCCATAGATGATCTTGATGCTGGGGGAGGGCCACGCCGGTCATTAGTTGAAAGCTGCTCAAACAGTTCTTCAAGCCCAGGACCAATAAAATAATCACCAACATTATTGCGTGTTAGACCGATCCCAGGAGTTCCATTAAAAAGGGCTTCAAATCCACCATTTCCAGACAACCTAAGAGGAATCTGTCCACCAAAGATTAACAAAGGACCAATGCCTGGGTGTTCAGGAAGTGCATCTGATCTCCCCCTGATGTCAAGGCCATTGCTTCTGTCAACCATCCGTTGCCTCATTAAGGCTGAGATAGAATCCAAAAGCCGAAACTGTCGCCCACGATCTTCATCACTGCCCATATGAATATAATCAAGTGGACTCACCTGCACCATGTCGTTAAGTTCCTGAACAAATCCCAAATTACAGCTGGGGCATACTGCATCTCGCCCTCGCAGTCGGACTGGCCGCCTGCAACTGTAGCACCAATGGGTGTTTCGGCTACTCATCCTCTCTTCCTCACTCTTGCAAAATCTTAAAATACAAAAGCCTACTATAGTCCCTGGGAGCTCATCGGATCTTAAGTTTTGACTGCACAAAGGAGAAAAAAAAAAAAAAAAAAAAGAGAGCTCATATTTAAATGAATTTACATAAAATTTAAATAATCAAATTGCAAAAAATCCAACCAAAAGTCTCATAGTACCAAAAGATAACAATGATCTCCATTTCTAAAATGTAATATTTCAAATGCTCTTAAGCACTAGATTTATTTATTTATTCTTTTTTTTTTTGTGAATGAACACTAGATTTAAATTGTTAGTAACCTAATAAACTTGTGGGGAAAAAAAAAGGAATTTTTATTTCCAGAAACAGCCTCCATCTCAGGGGGCAAAAAAAAAAAAAGAAAAAAAGAAACCATTTCCATATACAATAGTCCCCTTTGAAAAGGTATTCCAATCAAAGAAAGAAGCGCTTTCTGTTTAAAAAGAATCCTAAATGTTCAAAGCAAAAAACCTCGTTTAAGAAACAGAAACCTCAGATAATTCCACAGATCTAATTTGGCCCCAAGTAAACACATCAAAAATTCAAGACAGAAACAAAGTCCCATTTTGCTTGATTCCCGGGAGATTGTAGGGCAATGCCAATAACAATAATTTTGGATCGAGTTCAATTGAGAATAAGATATTCCATCTCCCAAAACAAAAATCCGAAACAAGAAACACTGCAAATTATTACCATTCCCAAGATTAACCAACGGGAAAAACATAAAAGAAATGGTACAAACCCAAACATTGAAATAAAAAAAAAAGAACAAAATACAATCAAAGAATGCTAAAAGATCACGATCTTATAGTACAATCAAAGCGAAATTTCGCTTTGAAAAACGGACGCCAAATTAAAGAATCATAATTCAAATCTCATTTGTTTTTTATTTTGAAAATTGGCAGAAAAAATTTCAACTAAATCATATGATCGTACCGTCGAGAGTTCAAACGGAAGACCGAGAGGATCCAACCGATCTTTGCTGACCAAGAGAAGGAGAGAGATTCGACGAAACCTCTGGGCTATGGCCGATGGATGGAATTTGGGAATTTATTATTAATGATTATTATTGTTTTCTTTTTCTTTTTTTGGAGAATGCAGATTTTGTATTTATTAAAATTTTATTTATTCGTTTATTATGCGAGAAGAGCCAAGAGAGGCTGTCGCTTATCCTAAGCTACACGTGGCGCGCAGTGCGCCAATTGATTTGTATGAGTAGGACTGTAGACAACTGTTGTGTCCTATTTAGGAGTTGTGCTTGCCTGTGGGCTCCACTTTTATTTTATTTTTTTTTGTTTGAAATCCATCAATAGAGAAATATCTATTTTTTTTTTTTTAATGCAATACGTATGGAACTCACAACTTTCCTAAATCCCATCTCACCCAAATCTCCTGATATTACTAGTCCGTTTAGTTTATAGATTAAAATTATCAGATTAGAATTATTTTTAATTTATATATATTTTTTATGAGAGAAAATACTGTAACGAATCATGAACCATGATTCGAATCAGAAAATAAATCCTCCAACCAAACGTGTTCGCCATTAATGTAAAATTTGAAGGAACTAGGAAAGAACACGTAACGACTTGAAGAATTTTAATTTAATTATATTAATTGTGAATAATTAATATGTCTAATTTAATTTTCTTAATTAATAAAGACATTTTAATAATTTGTAGTATTTACAATTCCATCTTGAAAGTACGCGGAATACATACTTCCATTTTTTTCTTTAACTATATTTTAATATTATCTTTTTCTTTTCTGATATTTTCTTTTCTTTTTCATTCCCTCATTTTCTTTCTTTTTCTCTCTCTCTTAGACACCCTTAGCTCTCTCTCAATCGCCTCCTTCTCTCTCTCGCTACCACACTCTCCGTTTCTCTCTTTCTTTCAAAGCTTCACTCTCTCAAGAGAAGCTTTTGAACCAAATTTAAATCAAAGAAAATTTTTAAGAAGTTTTCAACATCAAAACAAAGATCAAGCTAAATTCTTTGAAAACTCACTCTTAAATCTCGAATCTTACTTTAGTGTAACTTGATTTTTGTTTAGTTTGTGAGGTTTTAGTTTTAACTTGATTTTGAATGGATTTTGGTTGAAATCATGTTAGAATTTGGAGGTTTTTAATTCTTTGGACCCCATTTGATGATTGGAACATGGTTTTGTGGAATCCCCATGAAATTATCTCAAAATTGACGGTTCGGCCACTTTTTGGCCGTTACCTGCTTCCCACCGGTCAATCGGACAGCCGACCGGTGGAGTTACACTCATCTGTCACCGGTCGACCGGTGTACACTAAGTCCGACCCAGAAATATTTAAAAAACCAGTTTTGACCCTGAAATTCAATGGAAAACTAACCTGACTTCATTTGAAAACTCAAAGTGAGTGGATTAGCCATATTAATCCTTGTTTCAATTCCATTTCTCTTGATTGAATTCCAAATTCTCAAAGAATCATGATTTGAATTAAGAAGTTGTTTATAAACTTTGATTTTAAGTCAAGGCACGCTAGTATAATACAATTGTACATAATTAAGCTAGATTGTTTAGAGGTGAGGTTTAAGCTCTAAACCATTATTTTGGTGAGAAAGCTAGCGGCACGATTGGATTTGGAGCTTCAAAGACAAGTGGAGCTAGGACTACAAGAAGTTATCCGTAGAATTAACATCCAAAAGGTAGGACGTTCTTGTTCACATCCTTGATAGCCTGTTTTAAATGTGTTTGGCCTATGAAAACGTTTTAAAGATAAAAAAATGTATTTGAAATCATTGAAATCTAAAGTAGAGTTTTATATGATATTTTCGTAAAATGAGATATTTTAAGAAATAGTAACAACGCTGATGGCCTAGAGATCGAGATATGAAGATTGTATCCTTGGGAACAGGACCCAAAACCCGTATGGGCCACTACGATGGTGTTTGGCCTTGCAATGGTTGTAAGTAATTTATCATTAAATTACTTGCTGATGCCTGAAACCAGAAATTTAAGTTTATTTTACTTTCAGAAAAAAGGATGTTTGGTTCCGGATGACATGTTCAGACCCTGAGCTTCCATTTATTTATTCAGTTTTATAAAATTTTATCCTACTGGGCATTTCACTCACTTGTCTATGTTTTATGAATTTAAAACCATCCCAGGTGACGGTAGGAGTAGTGCTGAATATGTGGTGAATTATGGTGAGGTGAGCCAATCTTAAGAAGTGAAGAAGTTGTAATTTACTTCCTTCATTTCCATGTGTACAAAGGCATGTATAAATTACAAAATTGTATTATTAAATTCTACTAGACTGTGGTTGATGTCAGAACATTTTATTTCTGTATTATTTATCTATGCACAATGCGAAAATCCTGTGGATGCTAGAGGCTGACTTTTGAAATTGATTTGACTCTGATTGTGGTTTTTCTAACATCTGCCTCACTCTTTTCTAAAACTCCATTTCCTTAAAATAGTGGGGTTTGATTGGAAATACTCATATATATACTATCTTTAACATTGACTTTTGCTTAACCTCTATCTTAATCAGTTTTTAATTTCTAAACGAGCCTCCACATCACCAACCCAAGTTTGGGCACGGGGTTCCAGGGGTCTCGGGACGCCCGGGACCCCCGGGATCCCCAGGACACCCCCGGGACCCCCAGGACCTCCGGGACACCCCCTGGACCCCCGGGACGCCTAGGACGTTTGGGACCCCCGGGACCCTTGGGACCCCAGGGACACCCCCGGGACCCCCAGGACCCCCGGCACACCCTTAGGACCCCCGGGACACCCCTGGGACACCTCCGGGATCCCCGGGAAACCCCCGGGACGCCCACGGGACTCACAGGAGACCCAGAAGCCTCGGGACACCCCGGGATATCCGCGACACCCCTGGAACCACCGGGACAAACCCGGCAGCCCCGGGGACCGGCGGACACACCCGGGACACCACCAGGACCCTGGGGACACCCCCTAGGATGCCTGGAACACCCCCGGCAGCCCCGGGGATCGTCTGGACACACCCGGGACCCCTGGGAACCCTGGGACACCCCCGGGACACCCCTGGGACCCCCGGGACACCCTCGAGACTCCCACGGAACCTCCAAGAGCCCCGGAACAACTCCAGAAATCCTAGGACTCCGGGACCCTCAGGACACCCTTGAGATATCCGCGACACCCCCGGAACGACCGGGACACCCTTGGGACCACCGGGACACACCCAGCTGCCCCCAGGGACCTGTGGGACACACTCGGGAACCCCGGGACCCCCGGGAGACCACCAGGACCCCTGGGACACCCCCAGGACACCGCCCGGACCCTCGGGACACCTGGGACACCCCCGGCATGACCAAGACACCCCCATCAGCTCCCGGGATTGCCGGGACATACCAGGGACCCTCGAGAACCCTGGAACAACCCGGGACCCCTGGGACACCCCTGAGCCACCACCGGGACACCCCCGGAAAACCCCTGAAACCCCCGGGACCCCAGGGAACCTCGGCACACCCCGAGACACCCCTGGCAGCTCTGGGGACCGCCGGGACACACCCGGGACACCCCCGAGACACCCCTGGACCCCCGGTAGTCCCGGGGACCGCCGGGACACACCCGGGACCCCCGGGAACCCTGGGATAGTCCCACGAACCCTGGGACACCCCTGGGACCCCCGGGATCCTCGGGACCCCCGGACACCCCCGGGATCCCCGGGACCCCACGGACACCCCCGGGACCCCCAGGACCTATGGGACACCTCGAAGACCCCCGGGACACATTCGGGACCCCTGGGACCCCCGAAACTCTCGGGACACCCGGGACTCCTGGGACGCCTGGGATGCACGGGACCCACGGAGTGACATGTCATTTTTTCATAAAACCACAAAAAATTGTCACCTACAAAATGACATATCGTTTTGACAAAAAATGAAAACAAAACATCTACGAAAACTAGCGTAAAAAATGACAAAAAAAGTAAAACGCTGTCAAAAAGCACCCGGCCCGTGTAGTGAGGCGTCCAGGGACCGAGATGGGTCAAAAACTTTGCATTATTATATAATTTTTAGGGACTAATGCAACAAGCGGCACCATTTTCTGATCAATATTCTGTGTTTTATGATTTTCTTTAAAAATAAAGTAAAATAAAAATGATGTCAAAAAATTATAAAAGTTTGCAGACACGATCCTTACATTTTTTCGGGCATGCTTACAAAAAAAAAAGGCACGAAAAAATAACAAAAAAGTAAAACGCTGTCAAAAAGCCCCAGCCCGCGTGGTGGGGCTCCCAGGGGTCCGAATGGGTCAAAAATTTACATTTTTAGTTATATATTACATTCAAAAATTAATATATGATTTTTTGGAATTAATGGCATAAGCAGCACCATTTTTTTGATCAATATTCTATTTTCTTATAATTTTCTTTATTTTTCATATTTTAAAAATAAAATAAAATAAAAACAACATCAGAAATTTATGAAATTTTACACACATGATCCATACATTTTTTTGGGCATGCTTGCAAAAAACGGGGTAAAATAAAAATAAACAATATGTAAAACGCTGTCAAAAAGCTCCCTGCCCGCATAGAGGGGTGTCCAGGGGCGGGATTGGTAAAAAATTTACATTGTTATTTATGTTTTGTATTCTTAAATTAATATACGATTTTTAGGAATTAATGGGACAAGCGACACCATTTCCTGATCAATACTCTATTTTTTATGATTTTAGATATTTTTCATTTTTAAAAAATAAAATAAAATAAAAATGATGTCACAAAATTTTGAAATTTTGCAGCCACGAACCTTACATTTTTTTGGGCATGTTTGCAAAAAATGGCATAAAAATGACAAAAAAAGTAAAACGGTGTCAAAAAGCTCCCAGCCCGCGTATTGGGGCGCCCTGAGGCCGGGATGGGTAAAAAATTTATATTTTTATTTATATTTTGCATTCTAAATTTAACTTATGATTTTTAGGAATTAATGCAACAAGCAACACCATTTTCTGATCAATACTCTATTTTTTATGATTTTCTTTATTT